TCCCGAGGTCCGACTAATTAAGGTGGAAAAGAAGTTCTACAACAGATCGGGGAATGCGAAAAATATCAAAGAAGCTTAGAGCACTCACAATGGTTGGGGTTATAAAATGGGGTTCTAATCTATTTAATATTAGTATTTCAATATTATCTAATTATTGAATTAAATTTTAGTGTCTAAAATAAAATTTAACTAATCATAAAACTACAAATGTCATTTAAGGTTCTAGTGGCTTTCTAGATCTAGAACCCATTTCTCCTTCTCTCCTATTTTTTTCTATTTTTCTTTTCTTTTGATGCTTATAACTCCTATGGGTATTTCCCACCCGAGATGCTCTTACGAGTTCGACGGAGAGCGATTGAGACCCAAACACTCGAATAAAATTAGATTTCTTTATCGTTAGAATACTGAACCGGTCTGGAGTGGTTTAAGTAATACCAGTATTTTATATTTTGTCACCAACCCTATTATTAACTGAGTTTAGCTCCGCAATTTTGGTATTTTGATTTTGATTCTATGCATTTTTAATGCGGTTCTTTAATTTATTGAAATGGAAGTTAATACATTTTCATAGTTGTGAAACCAAGTTTACCCGTAGAGACACCAATGTTTGTGCAGTTTTTTTGGCTAACAGCACAACCCTTTTACGTTAATACTCCTTGGGTCCATTTCCATTGTTCTTTAATAACTCTTGCAGAAATTAGTTTTTTCTCGGAAACAGAAAAAACACACTACACGCAAAATCAACTACAAAATTATTAACTTTTTACAAAATCAAATACAAAAAAAATTAACTTTTTACATAAACTAGGGCCCAAAATTACTAAAATTATCTATTTTACTATACTAAATATACGTTTTCTGTTTTGAAGTTTGGTTTTCAAAAGTACCACCATGTTGAAGTTAAATTGAGTTTTGTAGTATTTTTGAAACATTTATCAAACACTTAAAAAAATGGTGGTGTTTTTTATAAAAAAACTTCAAAATGTGATGTATTTGAGAATTGCCATGATATATATGTCTCCGATAAAATATATTTCTAGATTCTCCATACATCATCTCATCTCCGAGATGTGCCTAACTCAGTTAATATCAAATAATATTATTTTAGTTACCAAAAAAAAAATATATTATTCTAACTAATCTATCACGCACACTTAGTAGATCCAATTTTCAATGAATATTTGTTTAACTAATCTATCATGCATATAATCTCAGCGGATCGACGACCATATGGCGTTAGATTTGTTATCGTGTGACTTGAATTGGAACCAGAATCGATGAAAAACTCATGCATTTTGACACCTCTATGATACAAACGATGAAGTAACGTATCTCATGTCTAACTCTATATATAGTTAGTGCAACCATAGTGTCAGCAAACATTAAGAAACCTCAACGGCTTATATATAAGTCCATTTTCGAAATAAGAAACAACTAAAAAACATGGAGGTGATAAATTCGTCCGCAGTCAAGAAAGAGGAAATCGATCGGCCATTAGCTTACTTCCCCGTCAACATATGGGAAGATCCTTTGACATCTTTCTCAGTTTCTGACCCGGTATGTTACCTATCCTAATTTTCTCATCATTGCATTCACTACCATTTAATAGAATACGAATGCAAGTTTGTTCATAAGATGTATGTTATGTCTCTCTCTTGCCATTTGATATATAGGAAAGTGAGAGAAACAAAGAGAAGCTGAAGTCGCTAAAGGAAACTGTGAAAGATTCGTTAATGGCTTCAAAAGAGAAGCAAATAGAGAACATTAAGTTCATCGATGCTTTGTGTCGCCTCGGGGTTTCCTATCACTTTGAACACGAAATCCTTGAGCAGTTAGAGACGTTGTTCGGTAGTCATGATTTCATGCAGATGATAAGAGACAATGAATCTGATTTGTATACCGTTTCACTTGTTTTTCAAGTATTTAGGCAGTTCGGCTATAAGCTCTTTGTGGGTAAGTAAAAACCTAACACTATTATCGACACTAGGGTTACACTTTATCTAAACTAGTATTTTCTATTATTAACTTACCATATATTTTTAGTTGTAAATAAATACTGCTAATTAAAGATGGGTGAAAATCCAGTGGTATTTTTAGAAAAACTGTCAGTTATGATCTTAAAAAGTGACTTGTCAAACGACATGATAAATTAGTAACTCTACCAAATGAAATGTTAGTTGTTAAACTTGGTATATTTACTAAAGTTTCTATCTCTATGAACATGATCTGAAGATGTGTTTGACAAGTTCAAGAACAAGGATGGAGATTTTAAGGAGAACCTAGCTGAGGATGCGAGAGGTCTGTTATGCCTTTGTGAAGCTGTGCACATTGGAGCACCCATGGTGAAGATATTCTCAATGAAGCTCTCACTTTCTCTATGTCTCATTTGGAAGAACTCGCTTCTCGATCTAGTCCACATCTCACAGTCCGCATCAAGAATGCCCTCAAGCATGCATACCATAGGGGTATCTCAAGGATAGAAACAAGACAATATATCACATACTATGAAAAAGAAGATTCACACGATCAAACGTTGCTTAAATTTGCAAAGGTAGATTTCAATATTTTGCAAATGATGTACCGCAAAGAGATTGGTCAAGTCTTCAGGTATTATCATTTCATGG